CAACTTTTTTTTCATATATAAAGTTTTTTATTTTTTCATTTTCATAACATATAATCCACATTTATGCTATTACATAACCAACATCATATTGTATTATTAAATGTTTACATCACTTACCTACAACTCCCAAAAACCAATTATTGGCTCTTCTGCTCTCCATACACCATATTTGTACCTTATCCATCACTTTCTTCTCCCTTTCTCCTCCCCCTCCCTACCTCCTTTCTTCCCTCTGTCACCCTTTTCTTCTCTACTTCCCCTTCCTCTCTCCTTCTCTTCCCTCTCCTTTCCATTCCCCATTTCTCCCCTCTTCTTTCCCCCTCCTGCCTTCTCCCCTATCCCTCTCTTCTTCCCTTCCCTTTCTCCTCTACTTCCCATTCTTAATCTCATTTACTTTGTGTATTTCAGCTTCTGAGCGAGCTCCCTTTTATGTTGATGGTATTTATAATTATTTTTCAATATACATATTTAATTTTTCTACTCCTTTTTAGTAAAAAAGGTGGTATAACAGAAAAGTATACATATATAGTCATTGTGCTTTAAACCTCCCCCCGCAACCTAATTTTAGTTGAGCTGTAGTCCTGGTTACAATTCCTAGCTATTTTCATCATTATCTTTATATAGTTGTACATCCTTACATGCCCCCAATTTGTGATTCTGTCTTTTTATCACAATAGTTTCCTATTGTAGGTATATTTCATGTTCCCTTCCATTTTTCTATACCTTGGATTTGATTACTCTTAATTATCTCTAGATGACAATTTTTGCTCTTCAGTATTCTTTACACTTCCCTTAATGTATTATATAAAGTAACAAGCGGTAAACATCTCACTTTGTTCATCATCTTAAAGGTTCTATACATGTCCATGTTTCATAGATTTTGACACATGTTTAGTTGTCCTTCTATTGTCATATTCACTCAATTTGCAACTCAATTTTATTATCATGTTAAAAGGTAAATCACAAACTTCTGCTTTACGAGCTCCCCATATCAGTTTCATATTTATCCATATTCCATATATTTTAACTTTTATTTAGTTATCTTTCCATTATTTCGTTCAACTAATTACTATCTCCATTTTATTATTATATTTAGGAATAAAGCCCTTTTCTTAACTTTATATTTTCCCATATAGTAGTTTCTAATTATCTGGTTTTTTCCTGGTAAGTTTTTTGTCCCACTTCTCTTCTCCCTTTTCTTTATTTTGACACATCCACTCCCTTCAAATTCCCCCAGGTGACCAAAAGAATAATTTATATTCCTCTTTGTTGGGGCATAACCTCCTGCTTCAATTTTCCCTATGCCACTAACAGCCTCCAAGACCACTTTTGTAAGCTTTCCTTTCCCTTTTGCTGGGACATCTCCCCTTTTCACAATTTTCTCTACACCATTGCTGGGACCAAAGGAGTTTTTTGTCTGCTTTTTATTTCCCTCTGCTTCTATCGCTCGTCGCCCC